GGCGCGGCCGGTGTCCTCCACGCGCTCGGCGCGGCCGGTGCCCTCCCCGCTCTCGGCGCGGCCCCTGCCCTCCACGCGCTCGGCGCGGCCGGTGTCCTCCACGCGCTCGGCGCGGCCGGTGCCCTCCCCGCTCTCGGCGCGGCCCGTGCCCTCCCCGCGCTCGGCGCAGCGAGTGCCCTCCACGCTCTCGGCGCGGCCCGTGCCCTCCACGCGCTCGGCGCGGCCCGTGCCCTCCCTGCGCTCGGTGCGGCCCGTGCCCTCCCTGCGCTCGGTGCGGCCGGTGCCCTCCACGCGCTCGGCGCGGCCTCTACCCTCCCTGCGCTCGGTGCAGCCGGTGCCCTCCACGCGCTCAGCGCGGCTCGAAGCCACCGCCAGGCTGAGGTGACGTGGTCACAGCTCCGTCACCTCTGCTGCCGACTGCTCCTCCTGCTCCTCCCGGCTTCTCCTTCCCAAGCGTAACATCTGCTCCTTGCAGCTTAAATGGGTGGCAGGGCCTCGGGGAGCCCCAGTCTCTCTCATGGTGCAGAGCGGATGTTTCAGCTGCACCCACCACTGCTAACGCCGCTCATGCTTGAAAAGCAGCAATGGCGCGAGCTTAAACTGCCCCTTTTAAGGCCAAACTTTGTTTGTTTCGTTTGCACTCAGCGCCGGGATGAGGGAGCCGTGACGTGCAGGGAGGCTTCTCCCGGCCAGCAGGGCCGCAGCTTTGGGGGGATTCGGCGCTTTGCTCTGGTTTCTGTGCAGCGACTTCTCCGCACAGTGCGTGCGAGCCCCGGGGGCACCCGGCTGCAGGCGCCATCAGCCACAGCCTCCCACGGCCTGCGGAAGGGGCAGAGAAGCAGATGGGCCAGAAATCTGCTTTAAATCTTTTATTTACTTCTCTCTATATCTGCATTGAGGTGACTGTTCATTTCCAAGCGGAGGTGCGCGCAGGAAACGCCGCAGTGGTGCCAGAAGCGGCCGGATCCCGGCAGCACTCGCTGTCTGCTGCCTCCCGTCGCTCGCAGCCGCGTTTCCTTGCCGGGGAAAGGAAAGCGATTTCCTTGGGGCGCTGTGAGCGGAAGCGCACGGCCGCCAGGCCCATCCTGCCCCGAGGCCGCCCCGCGCTCCCGGCCGCCCGGGGCTGCGGCGGGACGGGGCCGGCAGCCGGATGTCGGGGAGAGGCCTCGGCCAGGGAGACGCCCGGACCCTGCGCGGACACAGCGGCTCCCAATGGGGCGTCTGGAGCCTCCGCGGGACAGGAGACGGAATTCAGCTCCTGCAAGCCAGAGTCCGGCCCCGCGGAGGAAGAGGAGGCTCCTCGAGCGCAGGGAAGGTGTGCTAACACCCAGCCAAACGACAAGGATTTTTTGCCTCAGTCCTCAGTCGGATCCGTTTCCATTTGCCCAGCAGTGCCAAAGAAGCCACAGCTGCTCAAGAAGCCTTTGCTGGGGTGGGAGCTACCGGCCCTGTGCACAGTGTCCAACCAACAGCGAAGGCTGCACTAGGTCAAGTGCAAGTACATCCGAGTCAACCTTCCTGTCCCAGCCCTCCAAGGGGTGTGCGGGGACATTTATAGGTATATGTATATAAAATAGGTACATGAAGCATCTATCCAACAGCCTTTCTCACAGCATTGCAGGCAGGACAGCTTCAAACAACACACAAGGCAGCAAGGTCCACATGTATTCTAGTATATTCCAGCTTTAGCAGCCTATTCTGAAGGATCTGCTGTCACTCAGCTGAGCGAGATCAGGAGGGAATCCCAAGCGCAGTGCGCGGGCTCGGCGCCGGCCCTGCCTCCCGGTGCGTGGGGCACCGCCGTGTTTCCGTGCTGCTCTCGGGCTCTGCTCCGCTTTTGGGCACAGGAGAACTCACAGGAGCGGCCAGACAGACTTTGTGCACTGCAAACCCATCGGCTGCATGATGGGCGCTGCTCGCGCCAGCCAAGGCAGCTTTAAAATACATTATCTCACCACAGAAAGCTTAAGCACAAAGAGGACAGCACTCATGTTATTCCTTTATGGAATCGATGCTCGTGAGGCAGGATCCCTGCCGTGGCTTTGCTGCTTCTCCCGCATTGTTCGGCGCTGTTGCTTCCCGGGAGCAGACGAGGGAAGCTCCCTGCAGGGCAGGCGCGGGGGCGGCCGCAGGGCGGCAAACCGCGTTTCTCCCGCCTTCCTCCTGCCGCTCCAGGGAGCGGAGGCGGCAGCTCCCGCGCAGTGACTGCTGCCATGCAGGCCCAGCCTGTCCGGGGCACCTGAGCGTCACGCAGGAGCCCTGGAGACATGGAGCAAACGCTACACGAGGTATTTACGTCACCCACCAGCTCCAGCAGACGCTAAGGAGCGTTTGGAGGTGCTTGGCACCATCATGGATAGCCCAGCTATCCGTGAGCAGAAGGTAGGGAGGGCGAAAATCAAAGGATGACATTTATTACAAATAAAGTTGGTAAAAGCAGCAACCTGTGGTTGTTGCAGGGTGTTTGCACAGCAGGCATTTCCCGATAGGCTTTCCTGGGGACACTTCCATGAAGATGGAAGACTCCAAAGACTTCCAGGAGACTTTGGAAGACTTCCAAAGAAGATGTAGCAACTCAGATACTCTTCACTTAAAAAGGGACGATTATATCTTGTCTATGGAGAGAGAAGAGAATCCGCACTCAGCACTGGCAGCAGATGGTTTCCCAATCCGTAGGTTTTTTTCTTTTTGCTCCAGCAGGGTTTGCCCTTGTTGTTCCAAAAGCTTTGACTTCCCAGGATCCTTCCACAGCCAGAGCTGCTCCCGCTGGGCTGGAGACACCACAGCTTGAGCCAGGCCTGGCCAGGCCCAGCCTTGCCGGGAGCGGGACACGGGCGCAGGCTCCTTCCCCACGCAGGGCGAAGGCGACGCTGGCTCGGCCAGCACGAGCTGCTGGCCCCAGGCGCTTCCCTTTTTGTGTGTGTGTGGAATTTCACCCAAGCGTTTCTATCTCAGGCATTACAGTTGCAAAGGGACAGGGAGCATGAGCATTAAGAACACAAAAATACAAAGCTTCTGCCTAGGTGTGCTGGAACAGGGAGCATTTGCCGAGCGGCAAGAGTTTGGCAGTCTTTCCTCATGATTTAATGGTGTTCTTTATTTGAAATAAAACAGGGGCATTAAGGGGATCTCCCTCCACCCAGGAGGCCACCAACATCTCAACTATACATGACAGCCACTCTACAGAAGGGACAACAACCACTTTAGCCAAGACTTTTTGGTGAGCAAGATCGTTATTTTATTTTATTTTATTTTATTTTATTTTATTTTATTTTATTTTATTTTATTTTATTTTATTTTATTTTATTTTATTTTATTTTATTTTATTTTCAAGACAGTCGTTAGACCCTGCTCGCTGTGCTGTGTGCCCCGTGTTTTCAATACCCACACTACGAGCTGGATGAGGTGGCACCTGCTGAAA